CCCTCTAGATATCATCTTCGATATTCTTTCAAGATTACCGGTAACCTCGCTATTGCGATTCAGGTGTGTATCTAAACCATGGTGCAATATCATTGATCAGCCACGCTTTGCTCGAATGCAAATAACACGATCTGCTGAAGAACCTACATTAATATTTGTTTCCAAACCAACGCACAGAAAATCCACATTGTGTTTGTATTCAGCCAAAGAAAAGAAAGGGACTTTACAAACAAGTGAGAATCGTCTTGTAGAGTTCGATTTATATAGACATCACGCTGAAGGTTCTTGCAATGGACTGTTTTACGTAGCAGGATATTGCAGTGACGGATCTATTGATATTATTGTGTCAAATCCTCTTAAAAGAGAGGTTCAAAGGCTTCCACCGGCACCGGTGAAATCTCAGCACCCCGGTGTGCCATTTTCGAATGGATATGGAATGGGTTTTGATGTTTCAACCAATACCTTCAAGTTGGTTTGTGTTTTCTTTCTGGAAAGCAACTTTGAACCATCAACTTATAGATTTGGCACACTAGTGCACACATTGGGAACAAGCTCATGGAGAGAAATATCTCAAGTTACCCCTTATCCTCTATCTGATAAGCCTGTATTTGTGCATGGAGCTTTGCACTGGATTATTCACCCTTACTTACTCTACGACACTCCAGAGGCCATCATCGTTTCTTTTGAACTTGGGAAAGAGGAATTTAGCCTGATTTCCCACCCCAATTATTATTCAAATTTTTTAAATATTTTTCAGTTGGTTGATTTGAATTGCAATTTGGGTGTGGCTGATCTCTCGTGTAACTCAAAAATTGAGATATGGGTGATGAAGGATTACGAGAGAAAGCAGTGGGTCAAAGAATCTAGTATCGAGATATGTGGTCCGGCGAGGATACTTGACAATAGACACATTGAAGTTATAGGTCTCTGGAAGCATGGTGACATATTGATGAGATTTTCCTGTCAAGGGTTTTTCATCTACAATCAGAATACTGGCCTAAGGCCAACCAACAGCTCGATTGCTCTTCTATTTCAATCAGGTATTTCTAGTCACAGGGGGAGCTTGATCTCGGTGTCCAAGTTTATGACAGTTTAAAGTGTTTTTATGAAATTCCGACATAGATTTCAGAAATTTTGAGTTATTAGTAGTAGAAATAAAATTGATATTAGACTACATCCCTGTTCAATCCTTCTTTTATTAATAGTATCCTAGCTGAATTAATTCGTCTCCTTTTGTCCTCTTTCAAGTTGCTTCACAATTGTTAATTCATTTTTTGGACTTGAGTTTGTGTGAGAATTAGGTCCCTAGGTTTCTAAATTAGGTCTAAATAGTATTTTTTATTTTTTTATAAATAAAAATGTCAAAGGGAGGTCTGAAATTATGGCAGCTGAAGTACTCAAAGAATCAAGAGTGGTCTCCTTAGAAGTTGAAGCGGTGATTCAATGTTGATGGCAAGATTGAAAATTTAAAATATGGCCTATTTCTAGCATTCGGCAGCCACAAATGCTCTTGTGTAAGAACATATATCTCTCTCTCTCTTTATATATATATATATATATACTAGTCATAACTCGTGCCTTCAGCCACGATATAATATATAATTAAAGTGTCCAAAAAATTAATCTCACTATATTAAATTTTTTCAATATGTGTATACTATTGTATATGAATAATATTTAAAATAAAAATTATATTATGTTGTGATCGTGCAGTAATTATGGTAAATAGTAAAGAATCAAACAATTAAGAAAGCAAGAGAAAATAACACACAGAAATTTACGTGGTTCAGCAATGTGCCTACATCCATGAGAGCGAGCGGCCATTCTTTTCCATTATTGAAGTAGGTTTAGATCTTAAGTATTTATATAACCATAATATGGACGTATTTACAAAAATACTCCTGTATCGTACCGCGGGGGCATTGCCCCCGCACCCCCAACTAATCAGCATCTCCTTTATATAAATTCCGCAAGGTAGATGCCATCGTAGGCTCCACTCCGGCTTCTGCCTCCTTGCCATTATGCACATAGCAAAATATGAGCTACACATACTCTAACATATTAACTATAAATTAATTAAATATTAAATTTATTAAACATATGATAAAATGAGTGATGTGATGTGACTTGACATTTGAGTCTGACAGAAAGGATGATGGTGAGATAAGTGATTGATGATGATTTTGAGGAAGAAAATATGATTGAGATAAAATTTAAATACACCTCTATTTTATTTTATATATATATATATATATATATATATATATATATATATATATATATATANTATTTTATAATTTTATTTTTATATGAAATTAATGTATCCATAATATATAGACAAATAAGATACATTTCAACACAAATATTTAATTTTTCATCCACTTTCCTTCTGATTTTGGAAGGATTAATTTTGGTGAGTTGAAAGGAAGTTAATTCATCTACTTTTATATCCTTTATATTTTCTTTCTTTACCAACACATGATATTTTATTTATTCCTTCTAACTTTTCATCTTTTCAACTTTTGATCATTCTATTTTTCTATCGTACCAAACGGTGTAATAGAATTACTGGGTATAAATAGTAATTTACTTAGGAATAGCCTTGCAGCCCATTGGACAATTGGCTGACTTGGCCTAATTTTTGTTGGACTGGATATGGGCATATCCAGTAGCATTTAGCGGGTTCAAGCCAAGCCCAAAAAATCTGACATTTCGGTTGTTGGTCCATAGTCCACCCTTTCGATCCATCTATTTGGTACACAACAGCCAATGAAATGGGATCCGACTATCCAAATTCAAATGTAATTCTTTCTCCAAAATTTATATAATTATTTATTTCAATTTATAAGAGTATATTTTAATCTTGAATTCAAGTTTAATATCCGACTCATGACTCTGTAATTTGATCAAATTAGATATTTAACTATTAAACTATTTTGGATTTTTAAATAATCTTTTAACTAGATTTATTTTGGATTTTTAAACAATCACATAGTAATCTTTTTTCCAAGTTTTCCTTTACTTCAATTTTTTCTTTCTTTTTTTTTTACCTAAGTAAAAGCACTGTATCCCTAAGCACTAGCCACATTTTTTCCTTTAGGGGTATGTTGTAACTCAACATAAGTTACGGTGGCCAATTGCTGAACTCGAGGGCATTGTGGGCACAAGCTTGGACACTATGCAATTAAAAAAAAAAAATTTACCAAACAGTATATTAATCTTTAACCAACCAAACACCAATTTGAATATAGTTTAACAACAAATGATTTAAGATTGATCAAGCAAGATTTCTCTCTCTCTCTCAACTTGATTCGCACTGTGTGGAAATGCTGCTATAAATAACGTTTTCCAGTGAAAACCAACCCTTTTCTTGTGTGCCAAGCTTTTCAAATAGATAAAATGTCCCAGTTTTTATGGACTGGACACCTTTGGAGGGTCCTTCTAATATTTTTGCACGGTGGTCCAATGAATTCGGGTTCGACATAAATTTAATCCAAACTCAATTGTTCTTTAAAAATCTAAACTTGCACAATATTTGGACGGAAGAATTTGGGATTAAATTGGGTTCCAGGTAGTACTTAGTTTCATATGTCAGTTTGACCTTAAGATAACAACTCAATCTACTAACCCCTTTGAGTTGCATCCCTAGGTAGGGTTTGGATCATTGAAATTAGAGCAAAATTTAATCCTCTACCGTCAAGAGTTCGAAGTGATTACAGTTTAGAAAACTGAACATGAAGAGAATATGTCTTTTGATATTAATACAAAACCATATTAAACAAGAAAGAAATTACCAGAAAGATCATACTTACGTAAGGTATTTAGGTCTTGGAAACCACCGAGGAGTATAAAAGTTGATCTCATCGTCCCTTTTCTTGTGACAATGTCTAAATACTATGAAACCAACAAAGCACAAGCCGTCCGTATCGGTAATGGGCTCTCTTCTCTTCCAAAAGAACAATTACCAGACATGATAAATAGCATGGATGAACCCCCTCTAGATATCATCTTCGATATTCTTTCAAGATTACCCGTAACCTCGCTATTGCGATTCAGGTGTGTATCTAAACCATGGTGCAATATCATTGATCAGCCACGCTTTGCTCGAATGCAAATAACACGATCTGCTGAAGAACCTACATTAATATTTGTTTCCAAACCAACGGACAGAAAATCCACATCGTGTTTGTATTCAGTCAAAGAAAAGAAAGGGACCTTACAAACAAGTGAGAATCGTCTTGTAGAGTTCGATTTATATAGACATCACGCTGAGGGTTCTTGCAATGGACTGTTTTACGTAGCAGGATATTGCAGTGACGGGTCTATTGATATTATTGTGTCAAATCCTCTTAAAAGAGAAGTTCAAAGGCTTCCACGGGCACCGGCGAAATCCCAGGAGCCCGGTGTGCCATTTTTGAATGGATGTGGAATGGGTTTTGATGTTTCAACCAATACCTTCAAGTTGGTTTGTGTTTTCTTTCTGGAAAGCAACTTTGAACCATCAACATATAGATTTGGCACACTAGTGCACACATTGGGAACAAGCTCATGGAGAGAGATATCTCAAGCTACCCCTTATCCTGTATCTTATAAACCTGTATTTGTGCATGGAGCTTTGCACTGGATTATTCACCCTTACTTACTCTACGACACTCCAANACTGGGAACAAGCTCATGGAGAGAGATATCTCAAGCTACCCCTTATCCTGTATCTTATAAGCCTGTATTTGTGCATGGAGCTTTGCACTGGATTATTCACCCTTACTTACTCTACGACACTCCAAAGGCCATCATCGTTTCTTTTGAACTTGGGAAAGAGGAATTTAGCCTGATTTCCCACCCCAATTTCGATTCAAATTTTTTTAATTTCTTTCAGTTGGTTGATTTGAATTGCGATTTGGGTGTGGCTGATCTCTCGTATAACTCAAAAATTGAGATATGGGTGATGAAGGATTACGAGAGAAAGCAGTGGGTCAAAGAATATAGAATCGAGATAAGTGGTCCGGAGAGGAGACCTGACAATAGACACATTGAAGTTATAGGTCTCTGGAAGCATGGTGACATATTGATGAGGTTTTCCTGTAAAGGGAATTTCATCTACAATCATAATACTGGCCTAAGGCCCACCAACAGCTCGATTGCTCTTNGCTCTCTGGAAGCATGGTGACATATTGATGAGGTTTTCCTGTCAAGGGTATTTCATCTACAATCATAATACTGGCCTAAGGCCCACCAACAGCTCGATTGCTCTTCTATTGCAATCATGTATTTCTAGTCACAGGGGGAGCTTGATCTCGGTGTCCAAGTTTATGACAGTTTAAAGCCGGTTTCAAAAGTCTTACGATAATACTTAGTTGAATTAAGCTGTTGCGTTTGATATCGTAAGTATACCAGAAATTCCGACATAGATTTCAAGAAATTTTGAGTTATTTATGAGTTATTAGTAGTGGAAATAAAATTGATATTAGACTATATCCTTGTTCAATCCTTCTTTTAATGTTATCCTTAAACTTTTTCTGTTGCTTTATAAGTTTTTGGGTGGCATTATACAACCTTCTGAGCGGTATTACAATTTTTTGGGCTGTGTTATAATCTTTTGGAGTTGAGTTATAACTTTTCCGGTTATGTTATAACCTTTTTGTAGAATTACAACTTATTTTAAATATAAACCGGTTTTACCGGTCATATACTTTTTAGTGGATACATGTCATATAAGAAAGGTCTCTTACTTTTCGGTATGATACTGAAAAATAGGATGACGGTAATACAGTGTAGTACCTTGAACTATATTTTACTTGTATTCGTGTGTCTAAATCTGTGGAAGAATTAAATTAGTAATACAGTACTACTCATACAACTTAAAAAATGTAATGGGACACTATCCATTGGCAATACTAATACAATGATATGATACGATGATTACTGATAATGGTGGTAAAAAATCGAGAGACTTGAGGTGGAGAGTTAGTTGAACTTTTGGTGGGTATGTCGTGTGTGCAAATGTGAATAAGAATATTCAAGAAAACAAGTGGTTCAGAAAAACTTGGCTAATCTATTTTAATGGAAGCTCTTACTCCTTAATTTTATATTACTTTCTTGAAGAAGAAGAGTATAATATAACTTTTTCCTTGCTTAAGGCTCTTTTTTAAACGGTGATCATTGTCTTTTATAATAGAATATTAGAGAACATTTGGTGTGACTTATTGCCCAAGGTATGTCTTGATGGTAAAAATCTTTTTCTGCCCCTTCTAGTAGTTTCTGTATTGCTTGTTGTCTTCTAGAATTTCATTGCCTTTTGTATATTTTTTGGTATCAACAACCAATATATAATTCCTGTTTTTACTCTGACTAGGAACCACAAATTGGAAATAAAATTATCTAATTTTTAATGGAAAAAAGAAATAATTCAATTTTGATACGACAAATGTTGAAAAAAATTTTGGATGTCTTTGAGTCTAGCTAGGCAAACTGGATGACAATCATCGGAAACAAGAGTTGAAAATTGGAAGAGTTTCGAGGATTGATCCTTTAATGTTTAAGTCGGTAAAGAACTCAAAAATATTTACTATTAACTGCATCGATTGAAACTATTTTTATGTGTTTATGCTTCTTAGTTGTAATGGCATTAGCATTGAACATTGTCCTGATCCTAATTGGATTAGGAATACGTCCTTATCGGTATCTGATTACTTATCCCGTTTTGCATGTTTGGATTTGTACCATTTGGGGGTGTTTGTTTGCAGGATAGGGTGTGGTGGCATTGGAAAAGGCTATCCATACGATACCTACCCAAGTGGAAAGAAATAGCTGTGAAACATATTAGGACTTTTCCTTATATCAATTACCTATCCACATGTATATACATAATTGGTTAATGTCATCGCGTGGTGGCGATAACATGATGTTAGTTTTATACTCAAATTTTGCTCCACAGAAAAAAATATTAGATGTAACGGTGACACCACATGATATTGATGATGTGGTGTCACCAACCAGTGATAGAATAACAAGTGATTTCTATTGTTTTTATTAATTACCAGTAACTACATCTATCATGTTAAAATAACGAGGTTTACCAATGTTATTTGTTGTTTTATAATTGATTGGTCATGCACATCACTTGNATATGATGTTAGTTTTATACTCAAATTTTTTTCTACAGAAAAAAATATTGGATGTAACAGTGACACCACATGATATTGATGATGTGGTGTCACCAACCAGTGATATAATAACAAGTGATTTCTATTGTTTTATTAATTACCAGTAACTACATCTATCATGTTAAAATAATGAGGTTTACCAATGTTATTTGTTGTTTTATAATTGATTGGTCATGCACATCACTTGGTACTCCAAAGTGGTGTGTTAAATTCACAAAAAAATTTCTCCAAAAGATGTAAATGGTGACTTTACGGAAAAAAAAAATGTAATTATTTGAAAAAGTTTTTTTAGTGAAATCGTATTAATTAATAGTAAATTTATGTACTGGACACAAGTCGAGGGGCCTTTTAACATTTTTGCATGGTGGTGCAATGATTTCGGCTTCAACACAAGTTTAATACCTACTCAACCCGGTGTCACATAACCCAAGTTTAATCTCCCTTTAAAAATNGATGACTTTACGGAAAAAAAAATGTAATTATTTGAAAAAGTTTTTTTAGTGAAATCGTATTAATACCTACTCAACCCGGTGTCACATAACCCAAGTTTAATCTCCCTTTAAAAATTTAGACTTGCACAATACTTAAGTTGAAGAATTTGAGTTTGGATTAGATCCAGGTTAGTAGTTTTATATCTGGGTATGAGCCTAAGATAACCCCTCAATCCACTAACTTGTCCGAATTGCACCCTTAACTTGCATTTGAATCAACTCTAATTTGAAGTTTATCAATTACAGCAAAATTTAATCCTCCACCGTCAGATGATAAGAGTTCAAATTTGATTAAAGTTGAGAGAAGTGAACATGAAGAGAATTTGTTTTCTGATAGGAAAACAAAATCATACTAAACAAGGAAAATCATTATCGAAAAGTTCAGGCTTTCCTAAAGTATTTAGATCTTAGAAACACACGAGTATAAAAGTTTGATCTCATCGTGTCCCTTTTCTTTCGACAGTGTCTAAATACTATGAAAACAACAAATTAATACGGCTCTCTTCTCTTCCAAAAGAGACAATGATAAATCAGAAACGTTCAAGAAGAAGCATGGCTGAACTCCCTCTTGATATCGTCTTCGATATTCTTTCGAGAGTGCCCGTAAAATCACTCTTGCGATTCAGGTGTGTATCTGAACCATGGTGCAATATCATTGATCAGCCACACTTCGCTAGCCTGCAAATAACACGATCCTCTGAAGAACCTACATCACTAATTGTTTCCGAACCAACGCTCAGAAAATCCACATTGGGTTTACATCCAGTAAAAGAAAAGGAAGGGACTTTTGAAACAAGCGAGAATCCTCTTGTAGAGTTCGATTTAAGTATGTATCACGCGACGGGTTCTTGCAATGGACTGTTTTACTTTGCAGAATACTACAGTGAAGGTCTTATCATTGTGTCAAATCCTCTTAAAAGAGAGGTTCAAAGGCTTCCACCGGCACCGGCGAAAAACATTGACACCCGTCTGAATTTTTTTAAGACATATGGAATGGGTTTTGATAACTCAACCAAGACCTTCAAGTTGGTTTGTGTTTTCTTTCAGGAAAGAACCTTTGGACCACCAAGATATAGATTGGGCACACTAGTGCACACATTGGGAACAGGCTCATGGAGAGAGATATCTCAAGTTCCCCCTTATCCTATATGTTCTAAGCCTGTATTTGCACATGGAGCTTTGCACTGGATTGTTCACCCTTATGTCCGATACCATGACACTACAGAAGGCATGATCGTTTCTTTTGATCTTAGGAAAGAAAAATTTAGCCTGCCTTCTCACCCCAATTTCCATTCAAAAGATTGCGAGTTTTTTCAGTTGGTTGATCTTAATGGTAATTTGGGTATGGCTGATCTCTCGTGTAAATCAAAAATTGAGATATGGGTGATGAAGGATTTTGAGAGAAAGCAGTGGGTCAGAGAATATAGAATCGAGATATGTGCTGCGGAGGGGAGATTTGATAATAGACACATTGAAGTTATAGGTCTATGGAAGCATGGTGACATATTGATGAGGTCATTGTTGAGACCCTCTCAAGGGTATTTCATCTACAATCAGAAGACTGGCCTAAGGTCCACCAACAGCTCCAATGATCTCCGACATCGTTCAACAATTTCTAGCCATAGGGGGAGCTTGATCCCGTTGCCCTAGGTTAAGACAGTTTTAAAGTGTTTTAATTATAGTTGACTTTTAAAATGTTAAGACAATATTTTGTTGAGTTTAATATCGTAACTATATGAGAAATCCCGACATAAATTTCAAGAAATTGAGTTGTTTATTTGTGTTAATAGCAGTAGAAATAGAATTGTCCTCTTTGAAGTTGCTTCGTAATTGTCAACTTGTTTTTCGTCTTGTGTTTGTGTGAAAATATATATTTTTCGTATTTCGATAATAATATGAGATGTTGAACTTTAATAAGAATATTCACGGGTTGTGAGAGAAGTTTATAGTTGTCTTTGTCAAAATTGTATTTTTGTTATAAAAGCGTTGGACATGTGTTGAACTATGTCATCCTTGTGTACCGAATTTTGGATCGATGAAACCACAATTAGGATAAATTTAGCTATTGACAACCAGCTTTGCATTAGTCTCCAAAGTGGGGTATAAAAATTACTTTTGTTGCTTCATTCTAAGTATTGAGTATTGTAGGCATCGGATAGTACTATGACATTGTTATCTCTTTGATAACCTTGCTTTTACACTGCTTTGATTATTGATCTTGGGTGTGATCATAAACTCATGGCCTTTGGTTGAGTTAATTGTTTTTTTACACTGCTTTGTTATCTCTGTGTTTCAGTCATTTTTTTATTTACTCAAAGTTCGAGAGAATAGTCAGTGCACATCTGTACACATTGTAAAAAAAAAAGTTCAACACATATTTTTCGCTTTTTTGTTACTAATGCTTTTTTTTTTTCGAATTACTATTTTTTTTTGTTTCATAGGTGCTTCAGACATAGACATTAAACTAGTTATCTTCTAAACTAAGTATTTGTTCCTTTGAATATCTCTTTTGTCCTAATATCTATAGAAGCATCGAGCATGTGTTGAACTATATTTAACTTGTGTACCCAAATTTTGGATGGATGAAATCATAATAGCAGGCCGAAAAAAATCACACAACCTTGGATCCATNTTCCTTGTGTACCCAAATTCTGGATGGATGAAATCATAATAGCAGGCCGAAAAAAATCACACAACCTTGGATCCATATTGGGCTGCAACATTAGCATGAGCAGCATAATCGGCTTTAATTAGGTAAAACTCTGGAATAATTAAAATACTCATTTGAAATATCATATATACAAGCTTTTACAAACTCTCGATTACATTTACTTAGATAAATAAGAACCTAATTATATACACTAAATGACACAGCCGTATAAGATTATCAGTGAATTGAATAAATTTTGATACGACTAATATGCACAATGGTATGTTTTTTAAATTTGAGTCGAATTTTCATTTCATATGTTTTTTTTCCTCTTTAAACGCACAAAAAGTTTTTTAAAAACCACTCAAAATAGTTTTCATTTTAAAAATATTTTAACCTTTTGTAGAGAAAAATAGAGATTTGAGAGAGGCTGAAAGAATTTTTGGTGAAAATACATTGAATAATCATGTATTATTTGTTGACACTTTNTCATTTGAAATATCATATATACAAGCTTTTACAAACTCTCGATTATATTTACTTAGATAAATAAGAACCTAATTATATACACTAAATGACACAGCCGTATAAGATTATAAGTGAATTGAATAAATTTTGATACGACTAATATGCACAATGGTATGTTTTTTAAATTTGAGTCGAATATTCATTTCATATGTTTTTTAAAATAGTTTTCATTTTAAAAATATTTTAACCTTTTGTAGAGAAAAATAGAGATTTGAGAGAGGCAGAAAGAATTTTTGGTGAAAATACATTGAATAATCATGTATTATTTGTTGACACTTTTTATGTATTTCATTTCAACAAAAATTACTTTTGTACAAAAAAAGTTACAAATATACGTGAATTTGTGTAAAACTATATACATAATCCAATTTTCATATAATTCGGTTCAATGGTACAAAATTAATCATAATTTCTTTTTCACTCAAAAAATCATATTCTCTATACGACCCATGACATACAATTCAATTAGCACAGTCTACAATATTAAACAACTCCACTAATTTATACATATCTCTCTCTTATTTACTTTCCATTCATTTTAATTCTAAATTACATAATTAAAAATAATAATAAATTACTATTTAAAATATATATTATACAATCAATGATTACTTTTTTAGTATTGTAGAGTGATTTCAGACACATATTATTGCTAGTTTATATTATATTTATTGTCAGGAATAGGGGTATTAATTGAGCCGTGCTTTGTGAACTTAAACTCGAGCCTGTAGAGCTCGTTTTAAAAAAGTTTTCAAACTTGACTTGTTTAGAACCTAGCTCGATTGTTTTACATATAATTGAACCAAGATTTGCAAGCTTGAGTTGAGCTTTGTAGGCTCGTTTTTTTAAACGACCCTAAAATATTATTCAAGTTCAACTCGTTTAGAACATGAGTTGAGTTTGAGTTAACTATTATTCTAGTCGAGTCCGAGCCGAACCTAAGTAGTTCGTCTCGAGTATCACCCCTAATTAAAAAATTGAATTCTCAACTTATAAAAACACAACGATTAAGATTTACCTAATTTCATCTACTTGATCCATTATACAAAATTCATTTCCAAATTTTTTTAGGTTAATCTCAAATTTTACTCTCAAAGATCGTTCGATTCTTAATTTGTACGCTCAAATATCAAAATTCTCAATTTATACCCTCAAAGATAAACATTTGTATCAATGCGCACCTTAAGTTAACAGCCGTCAGTTTGTTGTCTAAAATTAAATAGATAAATTATACTTAGATCCCCACATATTTGTCACTTAATCACCTAAACCCCCCACATTTAAAATATTATATTTATATCCCTTGAGTTGAGAATCTAAATATGACTAAAAATGTTCCCTTAATTGGGCATTCATATAATTTTGTTTAAGTGATGTATTGTATTGAATATAAAAAATATTATATAAATACTTGAATTATATTGGGCATTGAAATAATAAGCTTGATTTTGAATTTTAGAGTATAATGAGCTCACATAATAAAGAGTAATATAAAATTATAATTTTTTATTATAAGGAAATCATATTATTTAACGGTTATATTNTGACTTATGATGATACACAAAAGTGTTTATGTAAAATAAAAGTGAGCTCAATCAAAGGATAAAGTAAAAAGATTGCTCAACACAACTAATACAAAAATTAAGTGGTTCGGTTTGGGTGATCTACTTCACTGGAAATGACGACGGTGGCTGAAGAATCCTATTATTTGAGAGGTGTAATATGCTGAGATGTATATCATGCCCCCCATATATAGGTGATGCTTACAATTTATAAGAAAATATAATTTTCATAACGATCCAGAGCGGACTTTTATGAAAGCACCATCGTGGGGAGTCCTGATTGTGAGAGGAGTGGGTGGCTCCGTGATGTTAGTATAACAACTGAGGTGGGTGAGACTTACAATGTATATTCTAATTCCCTTCTTAACACGGAGATATCACGCGCGTCACTAGTATACTAGATTTTCTAAAAAGATGGACTTGATCTTTGTTAACTTGTATTTCTGATCTGAACTTGACTGCACCTATGACTTGAATTTGATCAATATTTTTAAATTATGCCTCTAAATTGAGTTTGGTCTGAGTCGACTCCATCAACTTTAAGTCGGTAACTTGGAGACGATTCAGCCGGGTAACATAAGACCTATTGTTTATACAAAAAATAGNACTCCATCAACTTTAAGTCGGTGACTTGGAGACGATTCAGCCGGGTAACATAAGACCTATTGTTTATACAAAAAATAGAATTGTATGGGACTAGAAAGAAACGAGATAAAAACGACTCCATCAAGTTAAAGTAACCGGTGACAAGAGCGACGGCATCCAGCAGCATGAAAGTAACGATTAAAAACAAGTTGCTGAAAAAGAAAGGGGGGGATTGGCACCCACCCAAGAGCTACAACTGCAATCAAAACGTTGGAAAAATCAAATGAATGAATGGATCGTGTACAATGCATCTGTAACCATCATGGCTCGCCTAACCAGTTAGCCACGTATGACAATGACTAGTCCCATAGTTTGGACTGAATTCTTTCTTGAATTTACTAGTTTGTTATAAATATAATATTTGAGTTTGACATTGACAGCGCGTGATTATCGGCGTGTAATATCATCATTCATCAATATGACATTGTATGTATAAGGTGTACTGTCGCACACATATACAGCCCACGGACAGGACTATATAGTATTATAAAAAAAAAAATTTCATACATTAACGAAGGATAAATTTATCCTTCGTTAATACTCTAATACTAGAACTAGAGTATTAATGAGGGATAAATTTTTCATGANAAAAAAAAATTTCATACATTAACGAAGGATAAATTTATCCTTCGTTAATACTCTAATACTAGAACTAGAGTATTAATGAGGGATAAATTTTTCATGACCTGACTTTAAGGAGTTTCCAATATTCGAATTCAAGGCGTTTAAGTTTATAGTTTGTATTTATTACCACTTGAGCTACTCTTTAAAGTTAGATCAGCCACAGTTATTTTCGTAGACATGCTCTGACTCAACTTAAGCTGCGATAACAATCGTTGAACTTGAGAAAATAACCAATGTAAGTTAGAATATCTTATAATAAGAAAAAAAAAAGTTGAATTATAAANCAATATTTTTAAATTATGCTTCTAAATTGAGTTTGGTCTGAGTCGACTCCATCAACTTTAAGTCGGTGACTTGGAGACGATTCAGCCGGGTAACATAAGACCTATTGTTTATACAAAAAATAGAATTGTATGGGACTAGAAAGAAACGAGATAAAAACGACTCCATCAAGTTAAAGTAACCGGTGACAAGAGCGACGGCATCCAGCAGCATGAAAGTAACGATTAAAAACAAGTTGCTGAAAAAGAAAGGGGGGGATTGGCACCCACCCAAGAGCTACAACTGCAATCAAAACGTTGGAAAAATCAAATGAATGAATGGATCGTGTACAATGCATCTGTAACCATCATGGCTCGCCT